GCTCGAAGAGTGCCCTTTTTCAGCTTTCCAGTTAGGTACCAGTGCTGCCATGGCTGGAACAGGTGGACCTCGTCCTGTTCTCGTGGCGGCCTTGAAGGTCCTGTCAGAGGCCTCCGAGGAAGCTATCATGGATTCCCTTGCGGAATTCCGTGTTAGCCACCGAGCCAGGCTTGCTGCCCTGTTCGGACAAAGCGTGGCAGAGGGGTTGGGTGCGTACCGCCTCCAGTTAGAACAGGCTACGTACGACCCCGCCGTGCTAGCTTCTGCTCTCTTTGGTGAACTACCTGACGATGGCCCTCTTCGTGATGATCTACCCTCTTGGTCTGAGGACCCCCATGCTGCCGATGCCCGTCAGGATGCAGCAGAGGAGGAGTTGAGTGGGGCCCAGGTCACGCAGACTACACCCGACGACTACGTGGACACGATCCCGTCCGAGGTCTACGGCTACCCCTCGGACGAGCCCCAGGCCGCATGTGCGGCCGACACAGGTGGAGTGTTCGGTGGAGTTGCAGCAGTGCCGGCCCCGTCAGCTGAGTTTGGTGGTAAGCAGGCCGGGCAGAACAAGGCGCCACCTCCCCCGCTACCGGTGGAGGCTGCGGCGCCGTCGGCCTCTGGTTCGGGCCAGACTCCTCCCAAGGCGAACTTGGCGACGACAGCGGGCACGGCAGACCCCGTCAGCAAGAAGAACACGCAGAAGCGCCCGCCAGCCTTCCCGCCAGCTACCTCTACGGCTGCCTCGTCGACACCAAGCAAGCCCCCTGGACAACCTGTTCGTGATCCTCAGCCAGTCAGGTCGCCGCCACCAAAGCGACCGTCAAACGAGTGGGGCCAGCCTCGCCCGTCCGACTGGACAGGAGACCCAAAAGGAAGTGCAGTTCCCGTTCGAGGAGCAGAGGATGGCTTGCCCAACTGGGCCCCGTTAGCAGCTCCTGACGGGCAGCCCTACCACACAAGCCCCCCGGACTATTGGGACCTCACGTCAGTTTGCAGGGTGCGTTGTCCTGTTTGCTATGTAGGCATGTGCCCTCGCAGGAACCTTAAAGGTTTCCGGAGGGCACACAGCCGACACCGGTGCCACTCGTGCACCCAGCAGGGAAGCTAGACTTCCCCCAGTCAGGTACTGGGCCGAGGACCCCAGCTCTTCAGGTGCTCGCAGCTTGTGCGGGCCTTTTGGTTTGAACTCTTCCCGTCAGGACCGCCGCAGCAGAAGCGTAAGCCTTCTGCCTTTCTGCCAACCTGTCAGGTGCCCGGAAAAAGAGGACAGTCGTGGAGCCAGTTAGGGTGTTTCTGCGCCGCCAGGACAGCTTCCAGTTAGGACAGACATGGCAGTGGCTTGTGCATGCTTCCTGCTAGGACTGCAGTGCTTTCCTGTGAGAGAGTGCCCCGCATGTGCTCGCTGCCCTGCCCTCTCTTCCTCCTCTTGCTTGCTGTCGTCGGTCTCCCCCCCCCCCTCCCGTCCGGGTTCTCTTGGGTGTTCTCGCCTGTTTGGTGGGTTGTGTGCCTGTTGTGGCCGTTGACCCACCCTTCGTTGTGCTTACGCTCTCTTTCAGAGAGCCTTGTCAGTAGGACCCCAGATGTGCTCGTCAGAGCAAGTTAAACTTCCAGGCCCCTCGCGAGAGTCGCTGGCTGACTTGGACCCGCTTGTCCGCGAAGAGAGGTTTTCCCAACCTCCCGGTCACAAGGGAGTCCTTGTTCGCAATCGGAGCTTTGTTAAAAGCCGGTGGGTATCGCTCGTCAGCCCAGTACGTGTCAGTGGCGAAGCAAAAACACCGCGAGGCCGGCTTCACTTGGGGACCCGACCTTGATGAAGCCAGGGCTCAGTGCCTCAGGAGCGTCAACAGAGGCCTCGGACCAGCCACCCCCAAGCTGGACCTTCGCATTGAGAATGCAAACGATAGGTTTGCTTCCCTTCTCCAGCAAGCATACCTGGAACTCAAGGTGTCGTTTGACGATCGGATCCAGTTCGCGGCCCAGGCGTGCATCGCTGCATGCTGGTTCATGTTGCGAGGCATTGAGCTGGCCAACGTACAGGCTCGAGACGTTGTGTTCAACCGCCAGGCTCGTACGGTTAAGTTGCAGCTCCCCGTCAGTAAAACCGACACCGAAGCTAAGGGCTGCTACAGAGTGCATAAGTGCATTTGTGATCCTCGTCACGAGGCAGGGTGTCGTGACACCACCCCACCAGAGCTGTTCGGTACAGCCTTTCAGAAATGCAGTTGCAAATCGGGATTGCATATCCTGTGTGTGTACCACGCCTTGCTCCAGGTAGTGGTCCAACTTAGGAAGCAGCAACAGTGGACACCGACGACCCACGTCTTTGCACCCCGTTCGGGAGGCGTTGCATCCAAGTTCCAGGTGATCATGTTAGCGAGGGCCTGCGCCTTCATTTTGCAGCAGGAACAGCTCGACTCTTGGGGACCTGAGGCGATAAACCGCTGGTCCCAGCACGTTTTTAGAGTCGCTGGGGCCCAGATGTTTGCCAGGGCCCTTCTGGATGTCCCTTACATACAGCTGTTAGGCCGTTGGGGCAGTAGCGCCGTGTTGAGGTACGTCCAAGAAGCTGCAGTGTTGTTACCTGAAAAAGCTGCGTCAGCAGTGGCTGCACACGTTTGCTCCAACGACCCCTCGGTAGCAGCCAGTGGGAGCCAGTCTGTCCTAAGTAGCGCACAACCCTCGCTTCAGGACTCCATCAAGTTAGCAGTGGAGAAGGCACTACAGGGTACTCAGCTTCTAGTGCACAACCCGAGGTCCAAGATGTGTCACCGCCCCAGCCCAAGCGAACAACAACTCCCAAGTGACAGGTGGGTCACCCTCTGTGGCAAGTGGTGGTACGGTACTAGCTGCACTAGACGCAACACGTCAGTTCTAGAAGGGTTCACGAAGTGCTCGCTGTGTTTCTCGTCAGGAGGCCTCTCTGCTCTGCCAGCCACTGACAGTCAAGCCAGGGACGTAGAGTCGGGGACTGATTCCGAGGGATCAGAGGAGCCCCATGACGCAGCCAGCAGCTCTGC